TCCCCTCCGTGCACGGAGGGGAGGGGAACCTCTTGGCAACTGCAGGAACAGAGCTCAAATCCTAAAGATTTGAGCTCAGTTCCTGCAGCCTGCAAAAGGATTTCGGCTCCCGTCTGTCCCCTCAGCTTGCAACCTTCCCTGCAGGATTCCCTATTGACTTCATGGGGAAGCCAGCAGAGAAGATTGCAAATGGTGATCACATGATTGCAGGGGCTCTTGGCAACTGGTCATCAATGCAAACCAGTTGCCAACCACCCAAAATGCAGCCACATGACTGCAGGGGGGCATGACGTTTTATGACAGCCAGAAGTGCCTTACAGGCCATAAAGCACCCTTTCCAAGGCCATCGTAACTTCACATCATCGTTAAATGAATGGTTGTTAAGCGGGAACTACCTGTATTTAGGAGTACTGCACTAGGCTCTGTATATGAAGCTAAGAGTGATGTTCTCTGCACAGTCTGGTTTAATGTTCTTTGACTTTATGACTCTACCAGTGATATAGAAATAATTTCCTTTCTCTTAAAATTGAGATTAAGAAATAATTTTTACAATCTGCAATAGAGTTAATTCTAACTTGAGCAAGGCACAATGTCAAAAATGCAGCTGTAAACTTAAACTGTGCAGTGCTGGTATGACAAGTAGTAGTACAAGAAACAAATTGTTATCTTTTATTTAAAATTCCATGGAAGACCATTCCATGGAAAACAAATAGGTCTGGGTTTCAATTCAACATTTAACTAAACCACAGAATGTTTCCATTCAATACAGAGTTGCCAGTATTTCACACTGTATCAAGTACTCATAATTAGTAGAGTCAATCAGATTTATCTGATTTTTGTACTATTCTAGGAATTGGAAAAAGATTCATTTTGAAACACTTTGAGTGTAAAATTTCATGAAGTGCCCTATTAAAGCAGAAAATTCCTTTTTCAAAAACAGAATGGGCTGTTTTCCTACATTTTGGAAATGTACCAAGCTCAGAACACCTGTTTTAAATGTAAAATACTGCTTGACGCTTGAATCAGCAGTTTCATGCTTAAAACAAAAAGTTAAATGAAACTGTACCCTCTAAATGTTTTGAATGGGACATTTATCATAATCCTATATTATCCTTTAATATAAAATTATCATGGTACATTAACAAAGCAACAATATAATGAAACACTAAACAAATTCAGTTAAATTTTATCTGTCACTGCCCTTTTTTATTAATTAAAAAACCTCCTCGTACTAAAATTCTGTAGTGACAGAGGACTAAAAAATTACTTGTAAATACCTAACACATACCTTTTTTAACCTGTTATAATTGCTAATTGTGATACTGTAATTGATTTCTTGAACTGCTAAAAGAAGATGAAGGTCAAATGTTTCAATGAGGAACCAAAACAATGGAAATGTTTGTTTGCTGAAAAGCTGATACACGATCAAAGTGCTTTTGAAACCACTTTCATTCTGAAAGCAGTTTGCCATATCACATTAAGAACTGCTATTCCAAGAAAACCATGTTGAAATCCTGTTGGGCTCACAAAAGGTATTTCATGAGTAACATAATCCTTACTAATACAAGCTTTCTTACACTAATGCACACCTGTGGCTTAAAATCATATATTATATAAATGCACTCATTCTTAATTTAAGACGGACTTCTAAAGCATGCTCATAGCATCTAAAGTAACATTTAGATAGAAAAAGTACTGCATTAAAACCATCTATAAAAACAATTCAGTCCCAGACTTAAAACCTAAGTTGGCGTCTAACTGCAGTTTTCTTTATATATTAATACAGTCTGTTTTACCCTATCTTATTTTCTTCTATTATGGGAGGAGTAGAGCAGCAAGCATTATCAAGTTACAATGGGAGTTATAATTGTACACAAGTTATAAGGAAGGGGTTTCATCGAAAAAAAGACTAAAAAGGACTTTTCTGAATAAACATTATTTCTGACAAGTTATTTTTAGTAAAATATTACTATTTGCAATTAAATCAGCTACATCTTTTCTTTAATATTTATTTTATAGTACTATTTGCAGTGATAAAGACCAGAGTTAAATAAGTGCTGTAAATGAATAAATGGAACTTTCATTCACTTACCAGGCATGATCACATCTGGGAACCCTATTTTTCTTGTAATAGCAACCCCTCTGTTAAAGATAATAGGATATTCTCTTCGAATTTGTTCCATTTCTCCACGGAGAAGCTGAAGAGAGATTATAAGTCCTGAAAAAAACGGAGTAGAATTAGATCCTCACAATTCAATCTATTATGAAACAAACAAACAAATACAGTCTGTCGAATGCAATACAGGATTATGTTAAAGGCAACATAATATTATCAGAGAATTGGAATTATCATTACACAGGTAGTCCTCGACCTACGAACACTTGTTTAGCGACTGTTTGAAGTTATAACAGCACTGAAAAAAGTTATTTATGACCAGTTCTCGCACTTACAACCATCGCAGCATCCCTGCGGTCACATGATCAAAATTCGGGTACTTGGCAACTGGCATATATTTATGACGGTTGCAGGGTCCCAGGGTTACGTGATCGCTATTTGCAACCTTCACAGCCAGCTTCCAACAAGCAAAGTCAATGGGGAACTGCACGATCCACTTAACGACCATGTGATTTGTTTAATGACTATGTGATTCACTTAATGATCACGGTGATTTGCTTAACGACCACCGCAAAAAATGTCATAAAATCAGGTGCGGTCATGTGATACCTCGCTTAATGACCATACCACTTAATGATGAATTTTCTGGTTCTGTTGTGGTCATAAGTCAAGGAATACCTGTATTTTTTCTGAAAGCATGAAATAATATAGGAGATTGTCTTCCTCAACACAGTGGAAACAGAAGCACAAAATAATTCAAGTAGTTGTTTCTATCTTTGCCTGCATGAAACTTCCAAAACAATCTGATCCCCCAAACAAACCAAATAAGTCAGTATACAAATCATTAGACAGCTGATGAACTTTTTAAAATAATTCTATAGATTGAGTATTAAAAAAGCCAATGCTATGCAAAACCAGAATGTTCATCAAGGAGTTTTTCTTAACAATGCTGTATCTCCCTCCATCCCCAATTAACTTTGGTTTCAGTTTCATGTGTTAATGGAAATATTTCTCATAAACATTTGAGAATGGCAATCACTATTTAACATTTAACAAATTCTACAAAACGCTTTTATATACAACACTATGCAAGCTTAATACCTCAACTCAGGAGCAAGTTTGGAGGGTATGTAGAGGGTTCTAGCAAAAAGGAGGAATCAGATTTGATAATAATTCCTCTCTGGCCATATATGGACACAAGTGGATATGATTCAGTTTATAATTGAAAAAAAAGGTTATACCAAAATTCTATCATTTGTTTATTTCCAAAGCTTATAGGCTGCTCCAATCAAAATTGACTCCCAGCCTTCAAAATTCACATGTTGATGAAGTAGCCATATAAATCTATCTAACAAATAAATAAATAAATTCATACTAAAACAAAATACAGAATCCATTTAGCTCCATTAGAAACTATATGTAGGGCAAGGAATACATCATAATCAACTTCACTAAATTTTTAAAAAACTTTCATTGATAGAGGAATCAATCTGTTACTTATATCTGTTGTGAAAAGGGTCGGAAGTCAATTCATTCTTTCTTTTTGTTTTTTGTTTTTCCTTTTTGCACTTTTAATCTTTACTATTTTCTTCTTTTCAACTTTTCTTTTCTTCTTCTTTTTCTTAACATTAGTTCTTCTTAGTTTTTATTGTTTTTTCTCAAAACTTAATCAATGTATTATAAAAAAAAAAAAAGATAGAGGAACCAATCATTCCACCTCCAGGGCCTATTGGAATAGCCAACCTTTATAGACTTTCTAAATTCCAAAAGGGAAAGGGCCATCCAGAAATTCCAAAGGAAAGGGGCAACGATTGAAAAGACATGCATTTGCAGCCCCTGAAAATGGTAATCCCTGAGTGAGAGGATATAGAAAACCCACCCTACACCATCTTATCAAGTGGGAAGATGTTAGTAGGACAAAATGGTCCCACAGATATCCAGACCTTGAACCAAGAAAGGTTTAAGTAAAAACCAGCACCCTGAATTGTACTCAGAGACCAAGTGGTAACCAATGCAGTTCTCAAAACAATGGTGTTGCATTGGTAATAATTATTATTATATAATGATATGCATTTATATCTCATAAATATATGCAAAGAACAGAAATAAAGGAGTATCAATTAAATTAGTATATACAATAATGTAAAGTGGATATATTACAACTTAGGCAGTTCTAATTCTAACGGAAACAATGGAATAGCAAACAGGTAATCACTCTACAATAAAAATAATAAACCTGACCTATAAAACCTACTAATATATAACTAATTAATTCAAGTAAAATTAAGCCATATACAATATAAAAGTCAGAGAGGCCTGAGACCAGTCCAGAAGCCACAACTCTCCACTCAAAATCACAAATCCTCTATTCCTCAGAATTGAAAAGTTTTAAGCCCAGATTGAAAGAACAAAAAATTGTCATCTGACGAGTAAGAGGGAGCCAACTCCAAAACTCTGGGACTAGATCAACCCCAAATTTGCTGTCATAGGAGGAAGAGCCAAAACTGCCAAGGAGGCTGGCTGAGTAGATTTTAGGTGGACATACCTGCTAACAGTATAGATAGATAGGAAGGTATACTGTACCACAGTGTCCAAAAGGCCAAAGATTTTATAGTGGCACTTGGCCCTAATTGGTAGCCAGTGCAGGGCTCTGAGGTGTATTAAAACATGTGGAAAAAAAGAGAATATTTAAAACAACCCGACCTGCAGTATTTTAAACCTGGACCAGAAGAGGGGAGACTTGCCAGTAAGTTGTTTCAATAATCTAGATATGAAGCAACCAAAGCATATTAAGCAACTTTGCTGTATCAGGTGTCAAAAACTGAATACATCAAATGTTATGCAGGTGAAAATGGCAGGCCCAGAGGTTTTCAACAACTACTGACCAGTCTCCAACATTTTAGGGGAAGGTTGCTGAGAAGGTGGTTAGTCTGTAGCTGTTGAGAACCCAGAGGAAACGGGTTATCTAAACCTGTTTCAGTCAGATTTCAGGCTGGGATTTAGTACTGAGACAGCCTTGGTCATGCTCATTGATGTCCTGTGGTAGAGCCAGGATAGAAGTGATTCATCCATCCTTGTACTCCTTGATCTCTTAATGTCTTTCAATACCATCAACCATGGTATCCTTCTCAGCCAGTTCTATGGGTTGGGGATTGAGGGCACAGTTTTATGACGGTTCTCTTTTTTTTCCTGGGGCCAGTTCTAGTTGGTGCTGGTTAGGGCGGGAGAGATTGCTCCCTAGGCCCTTCCTGTGTGGGGTGCTGCAGGGTCCTACTCTCTCCCCCCTCCTTTTCTACATGAAACCGCTGGGTGAGATCATCTGCCGGTTTGGGGTTCAGTATCATCAGTATCCCCTTCATGGATCACTGCCTTGTCGTGGCGAAGGGGCTTGCGTAACT